AGGGGAGGTCCCGGGCGAAGGCTGCCCGCGGTCAGGCCAGCTAGGCCTTCCCGGGGATGAGTCCCTTCGGCGGCGGTGGCGGCGGTGGCGGCGGTGGCGGCGGTGGCGGCGGTGGCGGCGGGGCGGCGTGCCCTCCAGGACTCGCACTCAGAAGGAATGCTGCCCAATCCTTCTGGGAATCCTTGGGGGAAGTTATAACCCAAACCGGAAGAGTTCAGTTTAAATTCTTGTTAGACTATGCAGAAAACGAGAGACCCCATCTCCTTAGAAACAATTTAAAGTGGCCTCTTAGGAATACTCTCGAGTGTAACAACTCAAGACTATCCAGGAAGTGATAAATACAAAAAGTCGTCAGAAATGATAGCTCACTAAGATTTCTCCCTTTGAGTCAGATTTCAACACATAACATGCTTCTATGTGTGTATATCTGAGGAGCTTATGTTGGTGTTAGTTATGTTGGTGTTAGTTTTTAAACGTTAAGAATATACTTTCTCAGGATCTCACTATGTCCACCAAGCTGGGCTTTAAACTCACAAGAGAACTACTTGCCTCCTAGTCCTGGGATTAAAGGTGTACACCATCAGACCCGGCTAGAACTCCTGGACAACCTTGGGTCTCACTGAAGGGAACACTGGCTGCAAGGTGTGTAACTAACACTCTTACTACTTTTCATTGTATTTTTAAGAGTACTCTCTAGAGACCTTGGGACTTACTATTATTATTAAAAATCATAGCCGGGCGGTGGTGGCGCACGCCTTTAATCCCAGCACTCGGGAGGCAAAGCCAGGTGGATCTCTGTGAGTTCGAGGCCAGCCTGGCCTACCAAGTGAGTCCCAGGAGAGGTGCAAAGCTACACAGAGAAACCCTGTCTCAAAAAACCAAAAAAAAAAAAAAATCATCCTTTAAAAAAAGTGGAAGGACCATATGGGTACTTAACTTAGACTTCCTCTTGTCATGTACATGGATGGTCAACATACAGAAGTACAATTGTTCAATAAAGTAGATGGCCAGTCTGGGTGTTGCATATTCTCTAGCGCTGCATAAACTATCATTCAGCTTTAAAAATTAATCGGATGGCAGGTATAGTGATGTCTTTAATGGTAGCACTCGAGAGGCAGAGGCTGGAGAATGTCTGTGAGTTGAGGCCAGCCTAATCCACATAGTGAATTGTTCCAGGAGAGCCAGGGCTACATGGTAAAACCCTGTCTCAAAAAGAAAGAAAGGGAAAAATAAAGAATTACGTAGCTAGCCAGGTCATTTATAGTTGGTCCTTTGGTATTTATGAAACTGAAGTTTGGATGTCTTTGTTTAAACAATCCTTTAACTATAAATAATCTCAAATCTTTAGGCAATGATGGTTTCCTTATATAACTTTGATTGCCACATGAAATTAGAAAGGATTGTGTACAGGTAACAGAACTTCTGTTCTGAACATTTCTGATATTAACATTGCCTAAAGCAGACACTCTTAGCCTGGTATCCACCCGCAGGTAATTGCAGAATCCACTGGTGAGCCTAGGAAATAATACATCTCTAGAAATCATGTATATGCAAAACTATGTGTCTATGTAATACAGATTTTGCCTGGCTCCAGACCATAATAGCCTCAAAAGGAAACTATTTATTCCACATAAACCAAATTAACTGTAAGCAGTACTTCTAATCATAAAAAAAGTTAAAATTAACTATCAAAGTCAAACTGCAGTAGGTGAAGAGTAAGTACTTCTTGGAACATACAAATACATGTATGTACCCCCACACCCACACCACTAAGATGTATATAAGAAGACAATTTTGTGAACTTTGTGAGTACTGTTTTAAGAAAATTCAAAGCCTTATCTTAATTTTCAATTTCATCCAGGCTCTCAAATCATTTACTTACTGAACCAGAAAGACTAGAATAAATGTGCTCTTAGAAAAGACAAGAATATATGTAGGATAACTAAAACAGATTTTATTCCATTTTTTCAGGATGAGGAAAACAAATATAAAATAAGTCATAAGAAATGCTCTCCTGTACTATCTCAAACCATTTGAATGTTGTACAAAATGCTCACAAAGCAAATATGAAAAGCTTCAACATGTCTTTTGTAAATATTGTTGCAGTAAATGCAACATTAACAAACATACAACTTCTGTGTCAATTTTGAAAGAATTACTAAATTACATACTATTGTGTTGCTCATACATGTTTATTCACTTTTAATGAGATCACTGCCAATACATACATTATTTTCCTTAACTTTATTTTGACATTAAGCCAGTGTCTGTCATGCAGCCATCAAGAGCTGAGAGGAAATCACACAGGCTTGTAGTCCAGTTTGGACTCCAGCTTCTTGGAGTCAGCCACTTTCCTGACTGCTTTCATGAAGTCTTCCTGAACGACAAAGTCATGATCCGCACGAATGGCAAACATACCTGTGGAAAACAAACAAAACCGCTGCTGATCATGTGAATTACAGATGCACAAGAAAACCAAGCTGGGAACAGTGGCACATGCCTGTAATCTTAGCCCTTAGGGGACTGAAACAGGAGGATTGCAAGTCTGAAACAAGCCCAGGAAACATGTCAAGGCCTGTTCTCAAAAGGAAAGGTGAAAGAAAACTAACTAATCTTAACTCTGTGGAGTAAATGTGAAGATGTGTAGATTTACTGCTTCTGAGTAGTGCTAGCATATTAAAATTCACTATCTCCAAATCATTTCCATAAGTAGAATAAGCATTATTTTTTAAAAGAAGCCGATAACACAATTATCTGAATAGTTGAATCTGGATTGCATAGTGTCGGTGTCCAATGGTAATTCTTTTTTTTCTTTATAAAAAAAAAAAAGATTTATTTCTTTATTATGTATACAGTGCTCTATCTGCATGTTAGACTTTATGCCAGAAGAGGACACCAGATCTCTGAAGTTTCTTAACAGCACATGCAATGATTCTCCAGAAGAACAAAACCCGTGGGCTAGGGATGTGGAACAGGTTGGGTGTTTGCTTAACATATGCAAGGCCTTGGGTTTGATCTCCAGCAATGCAAAACTAAACAACCAACTTCCAATAATTTTGGTAATGAGTACCTGTCACTAAGCAAGGCTTAGGGTTGGAGATACAGATGTCAATGGAGTATACTGCCTAGACTGCAAAAGGCTGGGTCAACCATTAGCACCACATTTTCTAAGCCTATTATAATCCCAGTGCTTGCAAAAGGCTGGGTCAACCATTAGCACTATATATTCTAAGCCTATTATAATCCCAGTGCTTGGGAGGGAGAGGCAGGATAAACACTGTATACCATGTATTTCAAAAAGTTAGAACAAAGGATTCTAGGTGTTTTTACCATGAAGAAATGGTTATGTGTTTGAGGAGACAGGTAAATTAAATCTAATCTAAGATTATACAATATATACATGTATAAACATATATGGTTCCCATTAATGTGCACTTTCCATCAATCAGTTAAAACAAAAAAGTTTTTCAATGTGAGAGAAAAAAATGCACCTATCAAAATCTGATGGCATCAGCCTTTAAACTCACAGTACTGCTTCTGACTCCAGTTTCACCAAAGCCATCCTTGATAAAGCACTCTGATACAGATTTTGGAATATGATAAATTATCCTAGATAGTTCAAGTCATATGTTAGCTGCTTTATTAACTTTGAAATAGTAACTACAAAAACTACTGAAGACATGTCTTAGATTTGAATATTCTGAATGCAAAGTGAAAACTAATGATTCTGGCTAAGTGGTACTTCAAAGTCACTTGTTACCAAAACTAAAACTAGTATCAAAAAATCCAGAATTGTATTTAAAAACTTCATTTTAAACAAATTGCAGGACCACAAACTTTTAAAGTAAATCTTTCAAAAACCCATGGAACTAGTCCACTTTTAATTTAAAAGTTTTTTTTAAAGTTAATTTTTAATTTAAAAGTTGTTTTTTTTCCATTTTACATACCAACCACAGTTTCCCACCGCCCCTCCAGCCCCCATCCACTCCTTAGAGAGGGTAAGGCCTCCCATGCGGGGAGTCAACAAAATCTGGCATATCAAATTGAGGTAGGATAAATGAAGCCCACTCCCCCAATCAAGCGTGAGGAAGGTATCCCTCCATAAGGAATGGTTCCCAAAAGCCAGGAACTGGTCCATTTTGGTTCCAGCCAGTGTGCCAAACAGTCCTGCAATTCAGTCTTCCCACATCATGCTCGTGGCCATCAGGAAGTGCTTGGGAGATAACAACCCCAAGGGCAGATTTCATCCACTGGGAGAGGAATGCTGGCAAATAAATGTTCCAGGCTCCATCTTCTAGCCACACAATCCTCAAAGGAATTCTGTGGTTTCCCAAAGGCTCCTCACAAGAAATCAAAATGGACTGCTACAGTGGAACTTTCTCCCCTGTGCTGTTCCGACCTGCTTCTTGAAGTCAAGTCTCAAAACCAAAACAAAACACAAAACACTGAAACCCTGACAAGGTGCAGCTCTGCTTTTAGGTAAACTTACAACTCTGTTATCGATGGTAAAAACACGCTTTGTACTCTCACCTGCTTCAGTACAGACATTTCTCAGGTCTGCTCCATTAAAGCCGTCTGAAAGCTTTACAATTGCTTCATAATCTGTTTAAAAAAAAAAAAAAAAGAAAGAAATTAACAAGATAATAGTAATAATAAAGACCCAATCTTGATTTTTGCCAGAGAAATGTAAATGGACTAGTTCATTTGAATTTGATTAGCATTACCCTTGCTACTATTTCACAACATTAACAACTAAAACTAAATAAAAATGCTGCAAAGTAAACCAGAATCAAGGAGACATACTTCTGAATCTTATTTATAATTAATGTATTCTAAGAAAAATTGGCTCAATGGTAGAGTACATGCCTAGCATTTCTAAAGTCAATCACTGCCCACAAAACAAAAAAGTCAAACAATAAAAACCAAATACTAGCACGTGGCGCACGCCTTTAGTCCCAGCACTCGGGAGGCAGAGCCAGGCCGATCTCTGTTAGTTGGAGGCCAGACTGATCTACAGAGTGAGATCCAGGACAGGCACCAAAAACTACACAGAGAAACCCTGTCTTGAAAAACCAAAAAAAAAAACAAACCAAAACAAATACTTTGGTGGCTAGTGAGAAGGCTCAGCTAGAATCACTTGCTGCCCTTGTAGAGAACCCATTGTTTGGTTCTCAGTACCCACAGGATAGCTAACAACTGAAACTCCTACACACACATGTGCACAGACATACACTCTGGCACGGACACATAAAATAAGTATTTAAAACAGTAACCATAAATGGAATGTACTTTAGTCATGGAGATCAAATGTAAACTATACTAAAGGCAGACATTATTTTATCAAAACACAACCTTTAAATGCTAAAGTAAGCATTTATTAGCTTTCTGATTTTCTTTGCTAACTCCAAGTTGTACCAGATCTGGAATAAGAGTAATAGTTAAAAGTGAAGTCTCAGGCCGGTGGTGGCGCACGCCTTTAATCCCAGCACTCGGGAGGCAGAGCCAGGCGGATCTCTG